TTTTTTTTTTTTTTTTTTTGGAGTCTGAGTCATAGATTCTATTAGTTTTAAAAGTCAAATTTAATAAGCCCATTTTGTTTACAGGGCAGCAGCATACAAAGGCTGCAGGATTAACATATAGTTCCACAATTCATTAATTGTGCAACTTTAAGCAATCTTCAATTGATTCCTGGAGTAAATTGTAGCAGCATTAAGTTCACACAGGCAGGTTTCAGCTCCTCATACATTCAGGACAAGTTTTCTGTCTTGCTCTCTATTAATCGTCCAAACTGGCATACGAAAGAAAGGGGCGTGTCCTCTGGATAATCCTGCTACCCCTCCAAAAGCGATACATTGGAATATGTGGATATTTTTCATTAGAAAAGTTAGTGCTCATCCCTTACCTTCACACCAAGGGTTGAAGAGAATGTATGTGTCTGTTTCTGGGTTCCTACGGGTGCGGAGTACGCCGTAGGGGGTCCAGACAGCCACGTACATGCGGAATTTCCCCACAATGCATTCGGCGGAAGGCTGGATGGACAGACGGACAGACCTGTCCTCATTCATGATAACTTCGGCCCCCCATTTCCCACTCTGCAGCCTGGAGACAATGGGTACTGCAATGTAGGTCCCCTTGTTCTCCTGAGGGTAGCGACCTAGGAAAGGAAAGAAGAAACAGTGTTGAGTAGATTTCATAAACCACTTTTGTTCTCACTCTGTTATTTTGTGGCTAGAGAGAAATCCTCCATTAGGGTTGAAATCATAAAACTTAAATTTGAATTTCATCGCTGCTACCAACAACATGATACTAGTTGAATTTTTTAGACCCTTTAGTTTGAATGAGAACCATGACCCAAAATAAACCCGGTTTGTTTTATAAATTACCTAGTCTGTGGTGCTCATTGTTAGCAATAGAAAACAGAGTAAGATACCAACTCACAAAAATGTGTCTTGTTATCCTTTTCCTTTTAGTAGAATGACAAATCTGAGCCTGAACAAAATTTAAAAATTAAACCAGTATCATGTTGTTGGTAGCAGTGATGAAAGGGAAAGAAAATGGATTTATAATAAAATAAAAAGCTTTATGTCTGGCACATGGTAAGGACTGTAGTGGGGACATCTATCCTTTTGTATTTTAAATATGACTGTTCCTGGAAAAGAGAGGCAGGAAGAAGGAGTATTTTTGCCGCTCTGTTGCTGAAACAGACAAAGGTGGGGATATCTCAGGGAACGTTGGTTCCTTTTGCGGGCAAACGCACTGCAGCCAAGATGAAAGTGATTCAGCTCTCTCACACTCCTGTGTCACGCCAGGCAAAGCGCCTACCCCTGTCAATGAGAAATTCACTTGTGTAAAATGGAGATAACAGCGGCCACAATCTGCAAGGAGCATGGCACCTCGAAGGGCAAATTACTGTTATTTCCACATTTGTTGAGGCTTTTTCATTGCTCCAAATCGTCCTTTATCTGCCACAGTTTTGGGGAGTAAGAATGGGTTTCCCCCATTGCCAATAAACCCACAGAACTCAAATCTACTCTCAAATGCCAGATTATCCCAGATTCAAAACTCTTGACTTCATTGTTTTTTTTGTTTGTTTGTTTGTTTTTTGTAGCGGAGAACTAATATAGGTTTAAAAAAATGATATCATTCTAGAATCCACAGTAATTCCAGAATCATCATGCAAGGAAAAGTCATCTGTGCTCTGCCATCCAATTGCAATCTCCATTCATCACTTAGAGTATGGGTCAGTAAATTATGAGCCGGGGGCCAAATGTAGTTTTTTACCTGCTTCTATAAATAAAGATTTATTGGAACACAGATGCCCTCATTTGTTTGTGAATTATTGAGCTATAGTAACAGAGTTGAATAATTGAGACAGAGATCACATGGTCTGCAAGGCCTAAAATATTTACTATCTGGCCCTTACAGTAAAAGTTTGCCAACTTACACTTTAGATGATATTATATTTTATTAATTTAAAGGGTGATTTTTATAGGTACTTAGTATCTAAAACACGGACCTGACAGAAAGTACCAAAACCTAGTTTTTCTTTCCAAAGAGAAATATGTTACAAAACTAATAACAAATATCTGCACCATTAGGTCATACTTTTTAAGTCATCTAAATTCCTCACAATCAAGGAGAATGTTGAAAACCTAAGAAATTGGTTATTGCTTTTTATTGATTTCACTACTCATTGCTAAAATAATCTTAAAACCCTAACAGTTGTTCGAGTTCACCAAGGCAACTCACACGGACAGGAAATAAAGTGGCAAGAATGAAGGTCTGTCTCCTGGGGCCCTGATACACACCTTGTGCTGGAGGGTTCACAGGTGGAACCTCAAGCCCAGGGAGGGTGTTACTTGCATGACCTCACATCATAAGGTAAAGGTGGAGACAGAAATGGGACCACGATCTCTGTACTCTACATCTTGCTGCCTTCGTGAATCAGGTGGAAGATTCTTTTTTTTTTTTTAATCATTGAGTTTATTGGTATATTTTAGGTATACAGTACAGTTACATTCCTCACTGGGATCTTGTATCTCTATGTGACAGGTCTTGGTTCTCATTTTTTCACCATACCCCTGCCCTCCCTTCACCCACTAGGTGGAAGATTCTTGAAAGTATTAAGGAAGGTACTGAAAGCCAAGAGAAGAAGAAAGCGAGAAAATTAAACAACACATGAGACCGAGGACAGTGAGCTGCTTTATGGTGGTGGCTAACAGGCATGTGAGTCGGAAGTCTGAATCCGAAGGGTTTGTCGCTGTGCAGTGAGAAAGGAGAATAGGCAGGAAGAATGTGCATGAGGGTTCCCAGGCCAAAATGGATTTCAGTTGGAGGGTTCTGAAGTCATCCAGCCCCTGGAGTGCAAGGGAGACAGCTGAGCAACCTCGCTTATACGGAGAGGCCATGTGGATGGAAGCAAGTCAGGACCAGGCAGTGATTTCCTGTTCCTGCTTTTCATATTCACCATATAGAAAAGCTGATTATTAATGTGAGACCTGACATGTCAATAGGACCTCGGGGTCTTGTCGGCGGCTCCATTACACCATGTTTAATTCTGAGTGTAATGACTTCAATGACAGCACTGGGGAAGACTTTCCTGTGATTGAACTGTGTGAGAGGAAGTTGTGACAGAATAGTATTTCATTTTGCTAAATAGTCCTTCTCACCCTCAGGAGTTAGCGCGTTCTAGAGACCACAGTCAGGCTGCACTTGGATCTCTTGTCTGCCAGCACCCATGACTGTCATTGGCTGTCTTCAGCCAGTGTCCTCAACCACGTCTGATGACCACACACACATTTGCTGAGCATATGTAAGGCTAAATTGCCCAACATTTTCACCAAGAAATATCAGAGCAAGAAAAAGAGGAGCAGGAAATACAGGATTCCAGAAAGAACCCTCATTTTGTTTTTTAACAATGTAGTCTTTTCAAGTAGACTACTAAACATGAAAAGAGATTATGATCACTGATTGTATTCTTTCACACTTCATTAAAATTGGTGCAATTTTCTCAAGTGATCTAGAGATTAACATATGCTCTTACTTTAAATGCTGGCTTTGGTTTTTAATTTATTTCTGAGGCCACAAAACTGCTTTTAAGGTAAAATCCATTCAAGCTATACATCTATACTCAGATTGGTCACAGACTGTCCCTTTTGTGCAAGTCTCACTCTGCTTGCACATACATGGGTGAAAATAGTTACATCCACCTTCATCCCCCTCCTGGAACTGGAGGAAGAGGGCAGAGCTATTTAATTGCACTAGAGTGTTACTCCTTTCCAGCAGTGGCTAACAGGGTTGAGTTTTGTGCATGGTTTCTTCATATTAGTGTCAGTCATAAGGTGGACAAGAGAGAGCTAGCTGCAGCTCACACTCAGTTTTGCAGAACTCTGGGGAAAATTTACTAAGGATTCATTTCATAGATGAGTGGCCCTGCTGTAATCCAAGCCTGATATATATAGTGTCTGGTGAAGAAATTCCCTGTCTTTTTAGAAATTAATGCTTTTTGTCACATTGATGGCTTTGGTGTATTTTTACACTAAAAACACAAAATCCTAGGTGGTGCTTAGGTCCAAGGCAGGAAAGGTCGCTCACGGGCATGCAGTGTGGACAGTGGGGTTGAGTATAGCTGCTAACAGAACCATTCTAACTTTGCTTCTCACTGGACTGGGAAGGACACACTGATCATCAAAAAGGAGTTTGTGCTAGTGGCTGAGAAAACATGCCTGTCAATCACTGGCCCTGGGGTGCTCTGAAACAAAAAAGTTGTAACCCAGAGCATACACATTCCCCTCATCCCTTGGACGTCTGCTCTTGTCTGCTGTACTTGATTATGGTAAAATTTTTGGCTACTTGAGCCTTAGGTAATTGCTAGAAAAGCCCAAAAGTTGTTTTTCTTAGTTGTCTATTTAAATATTCATTTCTTTATTAAATTGAACTAAAGATGTCTTCTTATATATCTGTTTAGCTCCCACTAAATGTCACAGTGCCTGTACTGTAGGAGCCCAGAAAGTGTCAGTGGGACAGAACTGAGCTGTTTGCACACATTACGCCCCCTTCAGGACATCACAAAGACTCCAGAAGCAGGTGAGATGCCTGCTGCAAGGCAGTTGTCCATTCCCGACACTCTCCATAAGGCATGAAAATTTCTTGTTTTAAACTTTTTCAATTTTTTGCCTTCAGGATGAGTCTTCAATGCATGTATAAACTTTTTTATTGGTTTGGTTTTTTGCTTTGCTGGAGTTTGAACTCAGGACCTTTGCACTGAGCTACATCCTAAGACCTTTTCTAAAATTTTTATTTTGAGCAAGGTCTTATTAAGTCACTAAGTTGCCCATGCTGGCCTCGAACTTGTGATCCTCCTACCTTAGAGTGCTGAGAATAAAGGCCTACACCACCATACCTGGTTTATAAACAAATTTTAAGCTCAACTCTGACTCCAACCAATCAAAGCCTTACCCTTCCCTTAATAGTGCATTTTGGTAAGAGGATCATCTCTAAGGAATTCAGGAATATAGCATGTCTCCAGCTGAAAAGATAAATTTCAGGATATTAATTCATTTTTCCATTTGCTTCATTTGTTTCTCCTAAGATGCACCTTTTGTGTTCAAAATAATCAAGTTGTTTTCACATGTGTCCAGGAGGTATTTTGGTGACAGCATGACACGTGTGCAGAGCTGAGAGTGTGCATATGGCAGCCTCATCAAGGGAAGCAAACTTTGTTCTAGCTTTTGGGATGAGATGGAGTCAGTTTCCGAGCAACTTTTACAAACATCAGGCTACCAATCACAAAAACAAGATGGCACTACCACTGCCAAACAGAAATAATCAACAAGCTACACAAGTCACAGATGATGACAACTGAGAGGAGAGAAACATAAATGCTCATGAGGACATCAAGAGCCCACCCCTTTCATTGACACCATCCCACCATACCATACCTAGGTGGAATGTATATGGTGTATATACAGTGCATGAATATATACAGTGCATGAATATATACAGATATATATATATATATCTGTATATAT